TGCACAAGAATACAAGATAATAGAGTTATTGGAATGTCAAGTATGAAGGTATGAACGCCTAATAAACGACTGTTTTGATCGATTATACCATAACAAATTAGATAAGTACATCACAGTATTTTGATACGCATCCTCCGCTCTTTATTTCGTCTTTATCGTAGTTCTACACTTCGTTTTGACTATCGATTTTCTATCAATCATATACATACAAATATAACATAGAATAAAATCAACCAATGAGAAGTGGACAGTGTTGGGTTAGTTACTTTTAAAAAGTAATTAAGTTACTTTATTCGTACTTTTACTATTTCGTTACGTTACTACCCAACACTGGAAGTGGAGAACTATGACATGGGACGGAGGTAAAGGATATGCGCATATTGCTCAAATCTACTACAAATGTGATGATACCTATCTAATTTGTCATGGATTATTATCGATAATCATTATTGTTATTGTTTTGACGACAAACGTGCAGCGGTGATTTAGGGTATAGGTCACTGTACGTTACTTGCCTGGAACCGTTGAAATGGCCGGCGCTGACGAGCCTGTAAACTTGCAGTTCAACACGTCTGTCATATCCAGGGTCCAGCGTGTACCAACAGTGGTTAGGACCAGACAGCGCTGGAGATTTGATCTGGCCGAACGTTGAGTTTGAACGGGCCAACAGCATATCAGCTTTTATTGTGACGTTGCACACTGAAACATACGGATAACGGGTATCGTTAGTAATTATTGGTTATATCGTGTACAAAATAATATATATATTAAGCTCAATATATTATATATATTATATTGTAAGCTCCGAAGACAATGAAATCCCCATTCAACAAAATCGATACATTGTTATATTATACAAAAGCGGGAAAGTTAATGAACATAATATTAACTCGAGTTAGTTGAGTAAAATAAACGTTTAAGTACATATCAGTTAATAGTTAATTAACAAAATTATTTGCTATGAAAGTTCAAAGTTATAATGGAGAAAAAAATTAACTTGACTAGGTTAAAAATAATAAGTTGAATTATAATTTTAGATTCTGTATGAAACGATGAATGTACTGATTTTGAAATGATGTGTGTTTTTTTTTTTTTTTTTGTATCTGTGTACACGATAAGAAGTCGAAATAATGCTTCAATTTTCAACTTCAGTATCTTGTTCGATTGGAAAGTGATTATCGTTGGTGCATTGGGGAGGTCAACATTTAAAATTCCCAGTAATTTTCAAAAGCGCCAAAAAAAACAAAAGAAATATTAAGGAAAAACGGGAATTTTTACGCAAAATCGGTTTTTCACAAAATTCAATCTGGTTTTTACTTTAAAACAAATGACCGTAGATACATGAAATTTTCACTGGTTGTTTATATTTGCATTTTCTATTCACGATAACATTTACAAAATATTTTGATTTATTTTCAACTGTTAAGGGGCATTTCCATTTGCCATTTTTTTTTAGTTTTTTTCTAAAAATATCAATACAATTTTATTTGTTGGTTAAAAAACCTTGAAAATTTAATAGTAGGTACACTAATATAGTAATATATATATCTATGATAGTACCATGGTTTGTTCTTGATGTATAACGAATTATAAGTAGGTACCTAATGGATATCCGATATTGTGATATGATCAATTTGGAATTTATTATAGGTCAATTTTTTTTAATACCACAGATAAGTATATAATATGTCTTATACCTAGACTGACATACCGACTCCGCTCAGAATTGTTTTTCTTATACAATGATATTATATCGTTGAATTCAAATTTAATACCATCCATTATACAGTGACCCACTTGTAACGTACTGTACAGCAGAGCATCTTTTTTATATTACTTTCCTGTCTATTTTAATTACTTTAAGACATTATTATAAGTATACATCTTATAATAGGTTTTATACCAAGTATTTAATTTAATTTAAATTTGTTTTCTAAATAAAGTAGGTAAAAATGTATCTATCATTTAAGAGTTTTAAAAAATAATGTATTAATTATTATGTTTTACTTTTAAGCCAATTATTGGATGTGACATTCTGATAATAATCTTCTTCTTTTTTATTACCATCTAGGCACATAGCTCTGTCACTCATTAGTATTTTTGCTACTTTCAGGTTTTTTTTTAAATAATAAATAAATATTTTATTATTCTTAAATGCATCCATTTACTAATACTTATACTTGGGTACTATTGTAGTGATTTAAACAATATTACACATTTGTGCCAAATAAATTATTAAACAGAGGAATATTTATTTGTTTAATGTTATTTAAGTTCGTTGTATATTAAACACAATGTCAGATGATTAAACAATAAACAATGAATTAATTACAGTTATAATATATATTAATATGTATGAGCATACATTTTCAAATTAATTAACTGAAAAATACCAAGTAGTTTGTACTTACTGCTAAGATAGATTCGTTAACTAGTTAGGTTATTCAATTGACTATAGGATTATTGAACTAGGTAGTTAGTAAGTTTAAAATAAATTTATAGAAGTCAATTCTTTATGGCCCACCTTTGCTGTTACATAGTCAATCACAAAAGAGTGATCCGAATGTATGACATAAATAATTAATGTACATAGTATTATATTATTATAAAACCATTGAGTCAACTTACTATCATATTACATCGATTTTGAGTGCAAAAATATACAAGATGGTCAAATTTTACATGTAAGTATTTTTTTTGGTTTAGGTTTATGGAAATATTTATTTTGAATCAATGTTATATAGGTACATAGCTACTGTAAAGTTGAACGCAACGCAATGTTGCCACGAGCGTTATTATAAAGTACAATTAGCAACTATTTGTGTGGTGCGCTCTCAAAAGATTTGTCATATCGAATGGTAAGCAAAGCAATACAATAATGCTCTAAAATTCCAAAAAGTAAGCCACACGCTTATGTGTTGTTAATGACATCTAATGAAATAAACATTATTTGTAAATTTTAATCTTGACAATTTATTATTAAAAAGCAATTTCTGCTTTTGATTTTAGTTTTTTTCGTTATCTATATACTTTTTTTTTTTTTTTTTTATTTATTATAATTTAAATGTTTCAACATATTGCATGTTTTTACAAGTTTGTTATTTAAATTAATACAATTTAGAATTTAATTAGAATATGGTATGGATGATCAGTAAATTTGATACGTGTGTTAATTAAGGAGTGGAAGTGATGAGGAGTGGAAATTTATTATCTATATACTAGTATTAGCTATTTAGCTAGGAACTTTGAATGTATGCTAATATGTTATAATGTACGAATTATGAAAGATAAATTAAAAAATTAATATCGAGGTTTGACTAATAAGTATAATTCATTGCGAATTCTAAAAAGATCAATCAGACCATTTAAAACAGATTATTTAATACACGATATAAAATGTATTAATTATATAAAATATATATTATTTTTAAAAATCAGAGCTCTGCTTTATAATATTAGGTTGCAAGTGTATCTACCTCGTCATATAGTTACAGGTCACTGTAATGGATATGTTAAATTTGAATTCAATGATAAACCATTGCATACGAAAAACGATTCAAAGTTAAAAATTTAACTAGTTTTATGCCTTACAAAGTAATAATGTCACATAATCAAACACAAACCGATACACACATGACACATCATTGCAAAACCAATAGGTAAATTCATTGAAGAGCCCATAATCAAAATATACATTATATGGATCTCCACTCAGAGTTTATATAACAGCAATAAAAAATAAGAATAAATCCTAAATCATTTTTTTAGGATGTTAGTGCACTATTTGTTTTCTTTTTTGACCCACGTGCCACATAGCAAATGTTTGTTTAGAAGAACCAATCTTGTATTATTAGGTTTAATATCAAAGTAGAATTTACCTATTATCACACATGAACTTAATAATATTAGTAGCTGTTATACGATATTTAAACTTTGCTACAATATATGAGAATTTTTTAATTATTTTATTTGACACACTCATAACTTGTATTGAAAATAGAAACATTGTAAAAATTACGGAGTAACACAGATACAAAATAAATAATATTCATAACATTTTAGATTCTGCGAAAGAATGTATTGGTTTTACAGTGATGTGTTTTTTCTTTTTTTTTCTGTCTGTCAGTAACATTTTGGATAGTAAGCATGCTTCGATTTTTGAGATCAGTATCTATTCTGATAGAAAAGTGAACCTAGTTGGTACCATAAATGGTAAAATTTTCAAACCATTTAGGCGCATTTTGAGCTATTTAAAGCCATGACAATTTTTTCAAATTATGTAAGCTATTTTTCAGTTAGGAATTCATAAAATCTTTTTATAGCTTAGATAAAAAATTTTAATAAAAGGTTCCCAAAAAAATGTTCTACTTATAACAAAACAATGAACTTTAGCGACTTAGCGTTAAGTAATAATATTTTTTTATGAGCATTTAAATATATGATTTTTACGATATTGTATATTTAGTAGTAATTTATCGAATTCAACAAGACCTTAAAGCACTAAGCAGTCACCCACCTACCCACCATCCACCTACAAAAGTTATGGGGTATTTACCCCAGTAGCCATACGTGTTCGGCGCCACTGAATTGCTAGCCGCTAGGCCTAGGCTTAACGGTGCCGTCTCCGCTCAGAATCGTTTTTCGTATCCAATGATTTATCATTGAATTCAAATATAACACATCCATTACAATGACATAATCGAGTACAGCAGAGCGGTACCCACTTGTCCACCATGACACACATCATTGTAAAACCAATACATTATTTCGCTCCGCTCAGATTCTAAAATATATATTTTTTTATATTTGAAATGAGTGCATAATTATACTGAGTAATACTGGCCTATTAAAAATCAACAAACATCCACGTTGCTCTAGATTTGATTAAAATACACAGCCTATCATTTTTGTTAATCGCACATTTGTAAAAAAAAGCTATCATTGGTTTGACATCGTTATATATTATCGTATTGTAAATATATTGAAATCGTATCATTATTATGAATCCGGTTGAAAACAAGTCGCTTTCCGCGGAGACCGAACAAATGAACAGAGTTTTTGCGGAACTAAGGGCCGCCAAGTTCAATTTTCCCCGAGGATGGAACGTGGACCGGAACATCGCGGTTACAGAGCAGCCAAGCCGCAGATATGACTCCGAGCCGCATGTCTCGGCACAGCCGAGTCGGACTAATGTCAAAGACGCAGTAGACATCGCGGTTACAGAGCAGCCAAGCCGCAGACATGACTCCGAGCCGCATGTCTCGGCACAGCCGAGTCGGACTAATGTCCAAGACGCAGTAGACATCGCGGCCGGGGCGGATCGTCCAACACACAGTCTCTACAGGTCAGACGCCGAGATAATGGGACTAGATTTGTTCGGTGAGCCGGCCGCCGCACCGGTTTACAGACAGATCCGGCTGCCGAATTATGCGGGCCCGGCCTTCCGGTCAGCCATGGCGATCGTGGACGCGGCGTTTAACCGGCCGCTCCTACTGTCAGTGGACAACGTCGTTGTCAATCCATCTGCGGTCCTAAATACGCCCCCTTCAACGCCGAAAGTCCTACGGCGGCTAGCGGACTGCCAAGTCCTGGCCGGACGCGACGGTGACGTGGCCAGGAGGCGGTGGTCTTCCGCCAGGAACATTACATTGCCATTGGAACTGGAGACTGAAAACGGAACGCGGCGGGCTGACCACTCGCCGGAAGCCAAGGGTAATCGCCTTACGCTCTGGAGCAGGACAAAGCGGTTTATCCACCGCATGTTTTGTTGTGGCGTCTGATGTGTCCACGCGTCCAACCGTCGGCTGACGTTTTTGTGACTACGCACTACTGACACTTCTGTCAGTTTTCAAAACATATTATGTACTGTTATATTGTTGTAAATAAATAATTGTTAAAAATATTTTTTTGTGTGTAACGATTCTGGTGCGTAAGTGCGTTAGCCTAGGTCTCAGTGGCGCCGAACACGTGTGGCTACTGGAGTAAATACTCCATAAATTTTGTTGGTGTGTGACTACTTACTACTTAGTGCCTTAAGGTTTTTTTTATTTGATTAATTGTATTTAATTTTCTTACAGAGAAACACTGAAAGTTTGATAATAGCCAATAGGTAAATTTACCCTCTTAAAGCTAACACAAGATGAGTTCTACTGAACACAAATGTTGCACGTAGGTCAGAGAGATGAAATAAATAGTGTACTGACATCCTTTTAATTAACTCAATTTATTTTTTTTTTCATCAACTTCTCCCTACTTAAAAAAATTACATACCTACACTTCTTTATAGTGTATACAGTAATTCCGGGTACAAAAACTGGCCAGTCATAATTAATTGTATTTATTATAAAATGTCCTTAACTTCATAATTAATTTTTTAGAACATAAATTGGATTAAGTGCTAACAAAAAAATTTGCATATTATCTTTTCTTTGATGAAAAAACGTATGTAAACGAGAACAAAAAATTCTTCTCTAGAACGGATTTAGAACTATTTTAAAAAACGAATTTTCTAAAACTGAAGATAAATGTCATGGAAATTAGATAGGCTTATAATAAATATCACTACCTAATAAATATTTTAAATGTCATGATATAAAATAATATAATATGGTTTGAATATTAATCGTAAACTATTCGTTTTGGAATTATAGCCTTTAGGGTATTAAGTTACTTTAGGCGTATGATCTTGTTACGATAATTTACTAATTAATGATCATACTTGAAAAGCCAAAGATTCAGATTTAGTCTAAAACATTTTTCAAAAACAATAATATTTGATTGCCAGTGGCGGATTTAAGGGTTAAATTAAGGTCGGAAGATCCATAAGATGTACCTCGTAGAAAATGTATCAGTAATACACTTACGAAACTGTTGTTTTTATTAACATATCCTAAGAATGGTAATTGATATTGCAGTTCACAATATAAAATGTAAGTATTTATTATTTTGTGGTAAAAATTTAAAAAAAAAAAACCTATAAATTTACGTGGGCCCCAATATACATATTAGAAGAGGTGCTACGTCGAAATTTACCAAACGTCTGTTAAATCTACCACTGTTGGTTGCTGTATGCAATAGTAAATAATATTTTCTATGTGAGACAGGCATTTAACTTCAATTATATGCTTAAGGTTTAACGTTAACACTTAAAACGTATAACGTATTATTGAATTTATTACTTTAGTGACATTAAATGTGAGACAAATTTTATCTATTAATTATAAATGTTAAATTATCGCTTCAATTACAAATTATTTAAGCAATTTAAAAAAAAAGCACACTTTAATAATAATAACTATTATAATATAAGTTAGTTTTATTGTTTAAGATATTTTGAAGATAAGATGAAAAATATATTCTTCAAATTCTAAAGGTTTTATTGGAAATTGAAAATAACTACCATAATAATTACGGTAAATATTTTTAAATAATTATAAACATACTTATTTTGCACATAATGTATCTAAATGTTATTAGTTAATATAAGTTTACAATAAATGATATATATATCTACCTGCATTAATACAACATTTGTTTTTCTCATTTATTCACATATACTTATTTATATATTTTTGTTTATTAAGTTAAACATTTTAATTTACATAAAAAGTTATAAAAACTCGCCCTTTTACGAGTTTTAAATTTAACTTGATTTCACAGTTTAAAATGTTGATAAAAAAAAACTTTCTTTTCTATTATTTATAATCCCGTGAACTCAAGTCAGTGATCATTTAATTATTAGTATTGCATATTTTAAATTTAAAGTTTCCTATTTATGAAATTATCTTATTATTTGACTTTCATCTCTTACTTAAATGTGTTGAATCGTCATACTTTTGAAATTCCCTCAAGAGTTATACTTTATATAAATCAAACCTTTTGATTTTAAGCTTAAAGAAGTGTGTATTGGTTATCTTACAATGGTGTTATATTTATATTTTTTTGTAAACACCATATTTTAGAAGTAGTGGTATACGATACGTTCATGTAACTCATTCATTGTAAATAAAAAAATAAAACTGTATTTTAAATTTTTAACATTTGGACTTTCGGTCCAATATGTTACAAAAAGCATAAGGCATAACGTCAAATTAATTTTCTCTTTTAATGACTTAGCACTAGTCAATTAGAATATTCATAGTTCCAGAATCACTCGTTTTGTTAGTGAAATCTTGCCACCATGAAAATATATTTTAAACATGATTTGGTGCGCCAATATAAAGACTAAATAATAGGATGATAGAAATAAATAAATAATAGAATTCATATATTATCTTCAACGGTAACACTAATTTTATTTTAATCGGAAAGGCGCTCGTTGTGGTAGTTTTAGAATAATGTGTTTATGACATAAAAAAAACTAGCTAACGATTAAAAAAAACTAAATAGAATAATATGTACACGCGATGACCCTTGGAATAACTATTATCACTGCGACAGATTTTCCCCTGGTGCTCTGCAAAAGCGAAAAAAAATTCAATATTTACACAGTTGTTTCAACATGACATGTAATGCAATCATAGCGTGTAAATAGAAAAAAAGGAATAATATGTAAACACCATATACGATATACATATATACATACATACATACATACATACATATTATATAAACATTATAATGGATACGACGGTTTACCAACACAACCTGTGGTCTGCGATGAACGCTATGAAACGCGTCTTAGTAAACGAGAAAATATCAAAATGTCAGCCAAACTATCAAAGGCGTTTGTCACGTCTACGTACGTATATTGTTGTTTCGCAGTACAATATATTTTATAATGCTCAACGGCACTCGGAGTTGTTTGATAACGCATCATCCTCCGATTTAAAATATGTAAACACTAACACCTTGTGGCAATGTTATATTATTAAAAATCATATTTTTAAAAATTGTAACCATAATATGCCAATGCTATTATTTACCGTTTTTTATTAACTGCATTCGTCATCCGCGATGTTTATGTGGTGGGATTTATTGCACCGTGTTAACGAATATAATTTATTTAAATAATTAGCTATATAAAAATATTATTATTATTAACTTTACTAAATGTGCCACATTATATGTGCCGATTTTAAATATCAAACAAAGACGTATGTACCTACGCAGTAATTTGTTGTATAGAACAAATTAGAAAATATTACATAACAACAAATTATTTAATTAGTTTTAAAAATTTGATGTCAATTTTTGAAATTCTAGATTAGTTAAACCATTGATTATAAAATTTAATACTATAATAGTATCTATAATCAATGGTTATACCCACAAAATATTGTCTTATCTAGTTATACGATGCATCATTATTGATTTGTAACTTTATGATTTAGTCCAAGTTTTCCTGACTTTAGGTATAAATAGTTCTAATTGTTTGAATGATTAAGTATTATTATAATGAGCTTGTGTATATACAAACGATACCTGTAAACTTTTGAATTAAACTTCTGAATTCTGAAACAAGAATATATATACACATATATGTTAATATCTGTTCAACAATTTAAACTACCTAGTTATTTGTTTAAATTTCTATTTAGTCAAAGGTATTTAGGTATCTCCATTTTTACTATTTCTTATTGTTTGAACAAAATGTTTGAACATTAAAATATTTGAGTAGGACAAAATAATATTACATATATTATAACATAACATATTTTTGTATTATGTAATATGTATTAACATTTTTTTTTCTTGCATATGGCGTAGGTTTATTGGTGAAAAACAAAATTAAATAAACATAAAATAAAACTAAATAAAGTAATAAACATTAAATTATCAAAGTAACGAGGACTAGAGGAGGTAGATTTATAATAAACTAATAAATAATTTTAACAATAACAAAGATAATAATAATAAGAGCTCATTATATATTTAAAGGCGAACATTGGTCTTAGACAGCCAATCCATTGCTTCGTCATCGCCCATGTGAAATATTAACATGGTATGATACAATACCTTATATGCTTATTTTATAATAGTTTATTCGAATTTCATATTTATTCGAATTAGTCAATTCGAATATAAATAAAACACTATAGTTCATGTGGTATAAAAATATTTTAAAATTTTTATGAAAAATACATATTTATATAAATATGTATCATATAATATCATATGACTTTTAATCGGTATAATACAATTGAGAACTCAATTTTAGTGATACGATTAACGATGTTTATTTTTTTTTTCAACGTTTCCATATTTAATGTTTTTATCGAACGAATGAACACTATATTTAGTAACTGGTCTAGAAGAATAAAAAAAAACGAAGTTCGAAATGTATACAACAAATCTGATAGTGGTTTAAGAAGGATTTTGATTAAACATTTTTAATTATTAAAGGAGTTAAATATGCATTTTAGATCTATGGTAGAATAATGCCAAAAAATAATTACCTATAAAAAGAAAAATTTTAAATATATCTGGTTCAACAAAAGTTCAGCTAATTTATTAAAATATTTTGAAAACATTATGTTTGCTTATGCGGTACCCAGGTTTCAGGTATTGAAATAGAGTTAACTTATTACAATTTTTTTACATTTTTCATAAGATTAGAATTATTATGATTTATGACTATAAGTTTGAACATTGTTATCATTGTATTTTATATTTTTATTAGACCTAATTTTGAGTATATTATTGCTATAATTTATTTACAAACCTGAAAATAGTGACATTGGATGCTAAAGAACTTATTCCAATCATTAAATCCAACTATATAGATATAGTATGATATCTTATCAAGAACTCTCCACCTATCTTCGTAATAGTATAATAG